TATCTCCCTACGCAGAACGATACCATTTCGAGCTCAATAAAAAATGAACTATTAATGTGAGTAAACTTCAGAAGCTTACATTTGTTAACATATATATTCTCTTTGTAAGCTTCACAAGCTTGCATTTGTTAAAATATATATTCTTTTTTCTTTTGTTATACATATGTTGGTTTTTTAATGAAAAAATTCAAGAATTATTTTGAAAAATTAGAATCCAAAAATCGCACAAATCCAAACCGAATCAAGTTGCACTTAATTGGATCGGATCAGATCGGATTTTTTTAGAAACATCCAAACTGATCAAAACTGCAAACATTTATACATTCGGATCAGAAGAAATTTTAGCCAAAAACAGATTCAAATCTACCTCGAACACCCTTATAAGGGATGCTCTCTTTCACCTAGAGTCTAGGATGGTAGTTGTGATGAGCTGACTCCCCTTGAATTATGCTTAAAAAAAGTTGAAGTTACATGTTGAATAAATAGGAGTGAAACTATGCTTGATGAATAATTTGATGCCTTGGCAAAACAGAAGCGCTTACTTATGAGTTTTCTAACTACATTAAAGTAAAGAATGTTATACAATCACGTACACACACTGACAAAGAACCCTGACCTAGGAAAGGTAGTTGACTTCTCGTACAGCTACCATGTTGAGGCTAAACTTTTTCCTGAGGGCTGAAATTTTAAATCACATGATTGTCCTAATTTTTTAGTTTGCCATGATTTATTTCTCTAGTGCTTATTATCCATTGTTTGAGGATAAATAATAACATAAGTTTAGAAGTGTGATAACTACGTAAAAAAACTATGTTTTATGTCTTTTTACTTAAGTTATTGTGTGTCTAAATCCCATTTGTCATAACATTTTAGTTGTATTTAGTTGTATTTAGGTCATATTTGCTTGTGGTGGATAAGTTTTGCCTAGGCAAGATTTATTTGGCTTAACTGATGCTGATGAGGAGGAATGTTCCTTGTTGGCTATGTTGGTGCATGAAATAACTAAGGAAGAATTTATTTACCGAGACAAAACAATTTACCGGGGCTAGAGGAATATAAGAAGATGACAGTGAGGAACATATTTTTCTTGTCGAGGCAAGATTTCTCTTAGAGATCCGATATGGCTCAACAACTACTGACATCATTTTCCCAGCTTCATCCTCACATGCAATCATGCCCTCATCAAGGAAATCGACCACTTCCAACTGCTATATTATTCATAAAATGGGTAAGTCAACGAGGGTATTTAGGGAATTTCTAATGACACAAAACCCTAGAAATTTCCACTATAAATACCTAATTATAGCTCTCCAAAAAGGGATACAATCAAGGAAATGATATACCCTAGGCTTGGAGTAAGCGGCTGCAACACCTTATTTTCCACCATTCCCCCACTCGACCGTCCTTGGTGCCCTCTATAGCAGGGCTTTATGGGAGCATCGGTCAAGCCCTGGAGAGAGGCTGGCCGCTAGAGCATGCATGGTGGTGGTAAGAATGTCACGGCAGAGCTCTGTGTAGGAGTGTTTCTTCCTTTGTTCTTAATTTCCATTTTGCTTAAAGGGCTTGTACTGAATGTTTAACTTTGGATGATATTTTCTGCACCATGAACTGCTTTACTTGGTGTTGGTTATTGTTTTGATAAAACATTATTTGAAGGCCAATGAATGATGAAGTTTTCTTATGCTTAATGTTGTTTTGTTCATTGTTTTAATATTTTTCCTTGACACTGTAAGAGCTTTTGAGAGGTTTCTTGGTGCCTCGGCAAAACATTCCTAGACTTTAAAAGAGCTTTCAAGAGATTGCCATTTTTTTTAGGAATAAATGCCTAATATCGAGAGAGTTAGGGTAAATCTACGTGAACAACGAAACAAATCTGGGATGGAGATATTTTAATCCACCTTAGAGATATGGAGAGCGTTTTATTCGACTAAAAAGGGTAGCTACTTTAGTAGGAAATGCAAAGACTGCAGTTTACGTTGAGGGGTATTACCACAATAACAGTTTGATAAATCAAGGGTTCTAGCTCACGTTATTGTCATAGCAACCGTCCTTGAATACTCTAGTAATCTTATAGGGCAGCCTAAGCATAGCGCACTAAATCATCCTTAGCATAAAATAACTTCTCGCCATAGCAAAACCAACCTAAGTGCTCCATAAGAAGTCTGATTGTGTGAGGTTTTTCCTGAATATATTAAACTCGACGTTTCTATTTGCCTTAACAATTTTTATTTGTTTACTCTTGCAAATTTTCCTTGCCTCGACCAAACTTTTCTGCACAACATACTTCACAATATTTCTTGCCTCGACAATACTATTCCATCTGTTTATATCCTCTAATACTAATTGTTTTCTATTTTGACAAGAATTTCAGGACTAGCTCATGACAATTAGTTCTAGCTGTAGCAAAACATCAACAATTCCCACCAATCTAAGTGGATGCGTCGAAAGACAACCAAGTTGATGTGAAGTATGGCGCAAGGGATCGTAAAGTTACATGCGGAAGAAGCCAAGGCAAGCAGTTCATATGGGAGGACCACAACAAGCCAAGGCGTTGAGAACAGTCCAAGGTGATATTGCCCAGGATTGTCGAGTGTAGCGACAAGGGCATAATTGAGAATGATTTTTAGGTCCGGTACATTGGTGCAAGTGTCTACTAAAGAGGTTCTATATAGAGTATGGGCTTGCCAAGGCCACCATACTTGGCCCATCACTTGGAGAATGATGTGTAGCCCGTTCACATTGGTTGTGCAAAAAATGAAAGTGCTTCAAATTCGAAGATGATCATAAGAGCTCGGTAAATATGGCAAGAGATAACAAATCAGGAAGATATTGTGGGAGAATCTTACTATATCCGGTATGAACACCTATCCAAGAAAAGAATCCTAATATTTGATGTAATTGGGTTGGGTTTTCTTGATTTAGGGGATTTGTAATTAATCTGGCAGATCTTAGCCGTTGATGTAAATCGATCTAGGCCATTGATTGAGATGGAGCTCAACTATAAACAGAGAGCCTCTCCTCATAATTTGTAATCATCCATTCACTCATCCATTCTCTTGGGAGAGAGTAATAAAAGCTCTGAGGCATTTACTCTAGTTTCCATGTTCTTTGTTCTTTATTATCTTAGTGTTGTTTCCTATCTTGGTGGCCAGGAGTAGCCACACTTGTGTTTTTACTTCCACACTATAGTCCAACCTTGGTGCTTGGAGTAGCCACGTTGGTGTTAAAGCTTCCACATCCTAGAAGCCTTGAGGCTTGGTTCCAATATTAGTGAGTTTGCATGCTCACTAGGCTAGGGTAAGGCTTACTTAGTCGTAGAGAAGACCAAGAAGTTTCGAGAAGCGTCTAAGGCCGCACTTCCTATCAGACCTTAACTCTGATATTGCGACAGTTTGGGCTTGAAGGTTTTGAGGGCGTGACATAGGACACGATCGATTGCTGGTGGGCGTTCACGTGAGCTGCGTAGAGACAGAGGCGGTTGCTGCTGAATAAGATCTATAGTAAGGGTTTCTGTTAATTTCTTTGGGCTCGGGTTAATCAGGCTTAGTGGATTTGCAAGGATTTGGGTCAATAAATGTATAGTTGGTTTCTTTTGGGCCAATGGGTGTGTAATGGGTTGATGTTCAAATGTGTTAAGGAAATGGGTGAATAGATTATGAGATGAACATTTACATTAGACTTGCAATTATGATTACCCAACTCCAAATAAAATTCTTTAAGCAACGACACACTCTCGATGCAAACTTGAATTGACATACACACTATTAAACAAACATTAACGCAAGAACACCAACGAGTTTATCCTTGATCACCCTTTTAACTCAATTTGAGCTACAGGACAAAATTAGGTTATAACACAAACCTTATTCTTCTACGATGACAACACTTCTAGAGTCATCAATGACGACCCACTCAATAAATTCTTGATGAAATCAATTGAAAACATCGATGACGACTCAACCAAATTGGCAAAATCCATTTTAAAGAACTAATAAATCAAATATCAATAATTAAATTAAAAAATGTTAAAGAACTAATAGGTTACTTCTTTAAAGTATGGATGATATTTTATTAATAGTCTGAATTAATTCTAAATTGTATATATTAATTTTTTTATTGATTATTGATAATACATATATCTTCTAAAAAAATTACTCAAATCTAAACAATTTGTTTAAATATAAATTCTAAGAGAAACACGATTTTATTTTGTAATAATTATTTAAAAACACTAAACTTCAAATAACTTTATACAAAAAATAAATTAAATTCAAAATTTTAAATAAATATTTCAATTGAATTTTGACTAATGACGAGTTTGATAAAGCTCTCTAAAAAGCACTTTTAGTTAAAAAAAATTGTTTTGATCATAAAATCAATGTCAAACGGGTAAAAAATGAAACAATTATGGTGGAAACGATGGTTTCAACCCAACCACAAAAACTAAGATTTCTAGCTTTTTTATTTTTGACTTTGCGTTTGGAAGCAAATTATTATTTTACCCTTACTAATGCATAAGCTCTACTCAATTATGTATTTACATTTTATTTTAATAATTTAATACCAATGTCCTTAAAAAATAATTTATTACTTTTAATAATTTATATTAATTATTTAAAAATAATGAAATTTATGATTTATATATTAAAATATTAATACTAAGTTATATAAAATATATTTTATTTATTATATTTTTATTATATTTTAAATTGATATAATTGATATATAATAATATCTTTTTAAATTTATTATAATTTAAATTGATATAATTTATATATAAATGTAAATATAATTTAAATATTATATTTTTAATTTATAACATAATAGTTATAATAGATATTTTATATTTTTAAACTCATTCCTAACTAATCTCAAACAATTAAATTTTACATTTTTAAAAAGTTTTTACAACACTTTTTAAAAGCTTCATCAAATTGGTAATTGGCAATAGTTTTTAGAAATGTCTGACCAAGCCCAATTAGACCATTCCCTTTATATATATCTTCTGCAACAATCCACCCTCAAACCCCAAAACAATGGCAAAGTTCACTTGTTTCTTCTTCCTTCACTCCCTACTCATTCTCATCATCATTCAACATGTTAAGACATCCGAATCTCTCCCTCTCTCGACGACCTCGCGTTGGATCGTCGACGAGAAAGGGCGACGAGTGAAGTTAGCCTGCGTGAACTGGGTGTCGCACCTCGAGCCAATGGTCGCCGAAGGGCTGAGCAAGCGACCGATGGATGATATAGCCAAGCAGACCGTGTCGATGGGATTCAACTGCGTTAGGCTCACTTGGCCGCTGTTTTTTATCACCGATGACTCTTTAGGTTCCCTCACCGTTCGACGATCGTTTCAGAGGCTCGGGTTGCTTGAACCCATTGCCGGAATCCAGGCCAATAATCCATCCGTCATTGATGCTACGCTCATTGAAGCTTTCCAGGTATGAAATTTATGCTTTGTTTTTTGCTCCTAGAAAAAAGACTAGATTTCAGCTTGATGCCAAGAGGATAAGGATAAATTAATTAAGAAAAGACAGAAGATAATGAATGTGTGAAACCTCTTTTGCCTCTTGGAGACTCCAAATGATTCTTTTCGGCGTTTGTTGAAGATTTTTTAAAAAAGAGAAAATGAGATTAATTGAATTATATTGTAATCTAAATTTAATGTCAATTAAAATTAGAAAACTATTTCCTATTAGTACGTCACGGGTTTGATTTTGAACGGTTTGGTTGAGGAATTTTGAACTCGTTTAATAAACTAATTTGAATAGCTAAAGTTATTGGACAAAATAATGGGAATAAAAAACATTGTTTATTAGATGAACTAAAGGAAGGGTCTCATCACAAAATAGGTTATATTTTTTAGGTAATCTAGATTAATATAATATTATCTATATTCATGTGGATGTTTCTTAATAATACCACTACCAACCTAAATGATCAAATTTTATCAAACTAAAATATTCATAATCATGTAGTTTAGTGGGAAAGTGGGAAAGGGTTGGACGAAAAGACAATGGTAATTCCAATGTAAATGACGTTGCCAGTGATTAAATTATCAGCCCTAAACTCATTATTTCATGGCAGTTTTGCGGTGAGGTGCTTTAGTATACAGTTAAAATAAGAAATTACTGGTTTTGTTATTATTTTAAATAACAAAATCGGTAAAAAATGACTGAAAACATTAATATTTTGACCGGTTCTAATTACATATATAGGTAAACACGGTAAACAAATTCGGTTAAAAAATAATATTTTCGGTAAAGCACTACTTAAAACGTCATTTTTTGATCGGATTTTTTTATCGCGTTTACCTATATAGGTAATTAGAACCGGTCAAAAAAAATGACGTTTTCAGTCATTTTTTACTAACAAAGCTGGTAACGTCTTATTTTAGCCGTATATTAAGGCGTCGCACGTGAGCGTTTTCCTTATTTTATGCTTCTTTATATAGATATCAATTTAATCGATTCAACGCCGATCCAATTTTCACAACAAGAACAACAATAATACGATATGAATACACTAGTAAAATCCTTCTTATGAATTGAAAATCAGGCTGTGGTCTCTAGCCTTGGGAAAAACAATGTAATGGTCATACTTGACAATCACATAAGCAAGCCCGGTTGGTGCTGCGGTTACTCCGACGGTGATGGTTTTTTCGGTGATTGGAACTTTAACCCGAATCTATGGATCTTGGGTCTAACCCGAATGGCCACTCTATTCAATGGTGTCGCCAATGTGGTTGCTATGAGCTTGAGAAATGAACTCAGAGGTCCCAAACAGAACACGAATGATTGGTATAGGTAAATTCTAAAAATCCGAATATGATGTAGTTGATTTTTTAACCCTAGTGTTGATCAAACCATTAAATTATAGGTACATGCAGAAAGGAGCCGAAGCCGTGCATGCAGCCAATCCCAACGTTCTCGTTGTCCTTTCAGGATTAAACTACGATAGAGACTTGTCATTCATCCGAACTCGACCCCCGGCTCTCTCGTTCGGTCAAAAACTAGTGTTTGAACTCCATTGGTATGGCTTTTCCGACGGCGATGCATGGGTAACCAACAACCCAAACAGCATGTGCGGCAAAGTGATCGACTACATGATGAAGACGTCGGGTTTTTTGGTCGATGCAGGGTATCCGTTATTGGTGAGCGAGTTCGGAATCGACATAAGAGGGAACAATGTGAATGATAATAGGTACTTGGACTGCTTTTTGGGCGTGGTGGCTGAGCTCGACCTGGATTGGGCGTTGTGGACGTTGGTTGGGAGCTATTATTTGAGAGATGGGACTGTTGGGTTCAACGAATACTATGGGATCATGGATTGGAATTGGATTGATATTAGGAATTCAAGTTTTAATAAGAGACTTTCTGCTCTTCAGTCTCCTTTTCGAGGTAAGTCAAATTTAATCTCATTTATTCAATTTTAGAAAAAAAATCGAATTTTTGATCTTTCGATTCAATTGATCTAACCATATATATGTCGGTTCTAATCAAATCCTATCAACTTGAATCCAAACCCATTTTGAACATAAAATGTCAATAGTTCCCTCCATAAAGATGAAACCAAAAGCTTCTCGTGAGAGAGACTGATAAAATTATAAAATTTTGGAGGGGCCATAGTTAAAAAAGCTTAATTTTTTTTTGAAAGGGGCCAAGAATAAAGTTTTTCCGCTTAGCTAAAGGGATAAAAGGCTTAGATTAAATACATTAATAGAGATCGACTAAAACTATAAATTTCCCATTAGCGAAGGTTGCCAAGTTCTAAAAATTGGATTAAACTATTTTTTTTTTTGAGTTTTTCTCTGAAGTTCTTAACTATTTTTTGTCAAATTAAGTCCTTAAACTATTATATGTAGTCACTTTAAGTATCTTAACTATTTTTTTTGTCAAAAATAAGTTCCTAAACTATGACTTTTTTGTTTTAAGCCTCTAAACAATTTTTTTGTCAAAAACAAATACCTAATTTTTTTATAACGTGCCAACACCTTATTGGTTGAAAAATATTTCTCTAACTAAAAAAATGATATGACTTAAAATGATTAAATATAATAGTTTAAGAGCTTAATTTGACCAAAAAATATTTTAAGTACTTAAAGCAGAAAGAATACATAGTTTGAGTATTTATTTTTACTTTAAGCCTATAAAATTAAAAGGCTTATTTCGGAAAAAAGTATATAAAATATATTATTCCATTTATCTATATACCTAAATTTGCACATGGAATTGGCAATAAGGCAAGATGGCACTTAATAAAATGGTGTAATTATATTTTAATCCCCTCCTAAAAATAAGTAATTCAATTTAATTCGTTTGGCATATAATTTTCGACTTGAACCCTCCAATAATTTATGTTTTTATCCTAACCCCCAACAAAAAAAAAATTCTGACTTCGTCTTGATTAAATTTCATAGTAAAGCAAATTGTAGAGACATTTTTACGGAAAGAATTATAAGAAGGCCCATTATGTAATTATGCCAAAATTGTATGCAGGACCAGGATTAACAGAAATGGAACTACACAAAGTGATATTTCATCCCTCAACAGGGCTTTGTATTTTGAGGAAACCATCGATTAACCTTTTAGGCTTGGGTCCGTGTACCGACTCGGAACCATGGAATTACTCACCTCAGAAGACTTTAGAGTTAAAGGGAGCTAACTTATGCTTACAAGCCGACGCATTTGGGACGATGGCGGAGCTCGGAATCACTTGTGGCGGGTCGAATTCGAAATGGGAAATGATATCGGATTCGATGATGCACTTGTCGTTGAAACTCGAAAATGGCACCTTGGTTTGCCTGGATGTGGATTCAAACGGTAATATCATTATGAATGGTTGCAAATGCTTGAACCGAGATAGTCGATGCGATCCCGAGAGTCAATGGTTCAAACTTGTGGATAGCACGAGGAGTGGAAACCTAGGAAAATCCTTTGTGGACTTTGATTCAACCATTGATTTAGGAATTCCTATGGAACCTTTGTTTGAATGTAAAACCAGTCTTTGATCGATTCACTTAGGTTAGAATATGTCCTCAATTACTACGTGATTGAGTGTACCCCTAGTTTTTTTTTTTAACGGTATCATTATAGTTAAAAATATAGCGCGGACTTCGAGAATTTAAAAAAATCATGTTTAACTATATGTTGCTACGAGTTTTACTCATTATAAAATATTATATATTCACGTGTCATGGGAAATTATGACATGATATATATAGAAAAGATGAAAAGGACGGAAGAAATTGTAATTTTCATTCATTTATTGTTTCCTACAAAATATGTTCATAATTTGTTTTTCAAAATTAGTTTATATTTCTCTTAAACTTTATGTGACCTTTTTTTAAAATTATAATGATTTGATTTTATATGTGAGATGAAAAATAATTCATCATTATCATTTTGTTTCCTACCAAACACGTTCAAATTTTATTTATTTTCTTACATTTTCATTCTCTTCTTTTATTCGTATATTTTCCACGCTAACCAAAGCTTACAAATTGAAGTTTTGTTCATGATGTATATTGCATAAATATACTTATAAAGTTATAATTAGGGAGTACGTTGATCGGGTCGAATTAAGTTTTTAATTATTTCGATCCGATTCAATAAAAATATCCCTACATTTGAAATTTAATTCGAATTAAGAGAAATTTCACTCTATTCAAAACATTGATGGGTCGAATTAAGTTTTTAATCATGCACTCAATCTGATTTTATATATATTATTTTTATTTTTATCTGATAAAATAAAAAATTAATTAAAAATATACTTATAAAAAGGAGTACCATTGGAATTATTTTTTGATATATAAAAGATAATTATGTTATTTCGAATGGAATATTTTTTATTCTAAACTTGAATTTACTCAAACTCAAATATTTTTTTAAAAAAATTTCTTATAAAATCAAGTCTAGACAAATTTATCATATCTCCCTAATTATAACATGGAAAAGAAGTTTTCTATTGTTTTGGGGTTTTTTTTTTTCTAAGACCAACTGATAAAGAAATGGAAAGGCCTAACAATTAGGCTCTCAGGCATTTTCGGACATACTGCTTACTCAGGTCAATTCTCGGATTAGGCTCTCAGGCATCGGCTATTACGCTTAGTACCCTTTTTCCCATTTCCAGGCAAATCCTCAGACGTCAGCAGCCTTCTCTCTTCTTCCCTCAGCTGTTCTTCATCCAGATATCAAGGTTAGATTCTTGTTTATACCCTCAAACATTTCTATATATAGATAGATCATGTTTTATTAAGGTTAATTTTATTAACTTTTAGATAAAAATGGAAACTTTCCCTTTACGATTGAAGAAACTTAAGGTGTTAGCATTGTTATTATGGTTATGATTTCACTTTTTTTTAAAAAAATTTGGTTAATTGTTTTTAATTTGAATCAGAAACTGATGGCCCGACCGATTTGATCTTCCATTCTTTGGTAATTGGCCAAAGTCAAAGCAGAGGGGAAGATAATAGAGGCAATAGTAAGATAAATAAAACCATTTAAATCATAATAATACTAATCCATAGTGGTTTTCTATAAATTTTTCTATCAATTTTTTGGTTTTCTATCGTGGTTGGTAAATCATATTTTTTGAACGATTTGATGAAATATGTAGGGATTTTACTTTATTCTGGGATAGAATATGTTTCTAAATTTAACCTTTTGATGCATTTTAAATTGTGTTTATTGTGTGGATTTTAATCTTTGTTTTTATATTTGGCTGCTAGAGCCTCGATCTCTCTCTGTTTTGCGTCTCTATGCTGTTTTTCTTTTGTTTTGGAGTTCGGTTACTTGGATTTCCTATGCTTAAAATCTATGGTTAGTGAAAATATGCTACTAAAATGATCCTTACTAGGAGTTTGGATATTTTTTTTTTGCTTTAATTACATTTGTTCTGGAATTTGTGTATTCTTGACATGATTGATATAGATTTAAAGTTATGTTTTTCCTTGTTATGTCTTTGGTTTCATAATGTTTGATTTATGAATACCTTCTTTTCCCCATCACATTTGTTCTGTTAAAGGTTAATTGGGTAATGGCTGAAGAACAAATCGATTTTGGAGATGAGGAGTATGTAGGAGCACAAAAGATACACTATCAAGGGAGTGGGACCATACCTGCTCTTGCAGATGTAGAGATGATTGGGGAGGATGATGAATACGATGATCTCTACAATGATGTTAATGTTGGAGAAGGTTTTCTTCAGTTGCAACGATCTGAAACAACAGCACAACCAGCTTTCATGGGCAGTACTGGACTTCAAGCTCATAAAAATGATGCTCCTGAACCACGAAGTGAAGCTGGGGATTCACAAGTGCTAAACATCTCTGGAATTTCAGTTCAAGGAAAGTATGTCAATGTTAATTCCGGTTATTGGGAACCAGAGCGGCAACCAGCTGTTAACAAGCCAGAGATAGAATCTAGAAGTTATCCATCTAGGTCTACCAATTCACAAGGGGGTGGTGTTATGGAGTTGAACCCTGATACCCAAATGAACAATATGGGTTTTCAAGGGTTAACTTCAGCATCCACAAAGGTTGGGACTGGTCCTTCTGCTGTGCCTCAAAAGTTTATTAACAACCCTGCTCAATCCCTAAATTCAGGGACTGGTGGTCCTCAAGGAGCTTCTCAGATTCCACCTAATCAAATGGGTATGACTGCAAACCATCCTATGATGAACGAAAATCAGGTTCGACCACCTATTGAGAATGGTCCAACCACGTTGTTTGTTGGTGAATTACATTGGTGGACAACTGATGCAGACCTTGAGAGTGTATTATCTCAATATGGAAGGGTGAAGGACATTAAGTTCTTTGATGAGAGAGCTAGTGGTAAATCTAAAGGGTATTGTCAAGTTGAGTTCTATGATTCAATGTCTGCAGCTGCATGTAAAGAGGGAATGAATGGTTATATGTTCAATGGGCGAGCTTGTGTTGTGGCTTTTGCTTCACCACAAACATTGAAACAGATGGGAGCTAATTATACGAACAGAGACCAAGGCCAACCTCAAGCACAACCTCAAGGAAGGGGGCCAAATGAAGGTTTTGGGAAAGGTGGTAATATGAATTACCAAGGTGGGCATACAGGAAGGAACTATGGAAGGGGTGGCTGGGGACGAGGTGGTCAAGGTGTCAACCGAGGTGGAGGATCTATGAGAGGAAGGGGAGCTGTAGGTGTAAAGAACATGGTTGGGAGCTCGGCTGGAGTTGGAAATGGTGGTTATGGTGCTGGAGCCTATGGACCAGGACTGGGAGGTCCTGCTGGTGGCATGATGCATCCACAAGTTATGATGGGTGCTGGGTTTGATCCAACATTTATGGGTCGAGGAGGCAGTTATGGAGGTTTTCCAGTACCTGGTTTTCTGGGCATGCTTCCTTCATTTCCAGCTGTTAATACAATGGGACTAGCTGGCGTTGCTCGTCATGTCAATCCTGCTTTCTTTGGCAGTGGAATAGCACCTAATGGAATGGGAATGATGGGTGCATCTGGAATGGATGGGCCTCATGCAGGAATTTGGACTGACTCAAACATGGGTGGATGGGGAGGTGATGAGCATGATCGTAGGACTAGAGAGTCTAGTTATGGTGGTAAAGATGATGCTTCAGAGTATGGGTATGGGGATGCAAATCATGAAAAAGGAAGGTCAAGCGGTGCTACTCGGGAAAAGGAGCGGGTTTCTGAGCATGAGTGGTCTGGAAACTCAGAAAGGAGGTATCATGATGAGAATGAACGGGAATTGGACAGGTCTGATAGGGAGCATAGGGAACACCATTATAGGGAAGAGAAAGACAACTACAGAGAGCACCAACATCGTGGACGTGACTTGGATTATGATGATGACCGGGATAAGGTACAATCTTCAAGATCTCGGAATAGGTCCCATGCAACTCGAGAAGAAGAGCACAAGTCTAGATCAAGGGATGTGGACCATGGGAAGAAGAGGCGCCTGCCATCAAAGTGACAAACTATGCTGTGCATGCTTCTTTACTATTTCTTATGAGGCCTCTAATTAAGTTTTCACACTCAGTTTCCCTTGCTTTGGCTGCTATTTCCTTTCAGCATTCTCTGTGATGATTGTTGATACATATGCAGAACGTGGCTTCTTAAAGGAAGAAGTAAGTGCTACTTACATGGTGGTGGGGAAGAATAGACTTCCCTTTTTGTTTCTTTATGCATTATAGAGAACAACTATTATATGAAGAAACTTAGTATTCGTATGTTGAAAATTGGAAAACATAGTATTTTAATCTATGTGGATATTCTTTTGTGGGGTTCGAATGCTAACATCCTACAGCTTAATATCAACAATGGTTTTATAATTATCCACAAAACACTATATTTAAGGGAATGCTTACTTAGCTTGTGATTGTGATACTTAGAAAATATTGTTGTTCATATGATTGTTGGGATTTGTTCTTTAGAAACTTTCTTGTGATATGTTTGTATTCTTGGTTGATAAGAAATATTTCTATCTTGTGAATTTTTTGAACATCCTTTTAAATGGGTTAGAAGTTAGGAGGGTTCGTAGGCCAGGAAGTTTGCTTGGCATAAACCGTGGACCTTGCTAGATGATGTATATTGTATATGATTAGGTGAGAAATGAGAATGAATTTCATCTCCCTTTTGAATTTTATCTTGGTGCTTCAATCTTGTATCATGATGTTTTCTGGTTACTTCATCATTTTGTTCATTAGTTGTTCATTTTCTATGTGTATATCATTTGCTTTTCAATTCAGATTTACTGAATATCAGAATACATGCTATGTGTTTTCAATATTGCTGTTTTATTTTTCCTTTGCCTCTTTCAAATATTTGAAGCTTGGGTTTTGGTGAGTTGTGCTATATGTTAGATAGTTTTACTTCTTCCCCATTCGAAGTCATTCTGTTGCAATTTGGTCTTGTGGATGCCTGTCAATATTCAGCTGAAAAGGAATTTTTGTTAAAGAAGCAATAGAATGAAGGATTTACCCTTTTTTGGTCACCTTTTAGTTGTGAAGTTTAGGGTTCATTGTGCTCTGAAATTTTTAACTGTATGATAAAGTTATTCTCCGAGACAGGGCTGTTTTCAAAAACAATGTTTTACCTAGAATGCTATTGTT